ATTTGTCTTTTGAGTCTTTAAAAGTTGTGTTTTCAGAACTGTTTAAGTCAATGTCCGTTTTAGATTTCTCTTGTCAAACGTGTCAGTTAAGTAAACATTGTAGAACTCATTTTCTTGAAAAAAATAGTAAATTTGAATTTCCTTTTCACATTGTTCATTCTGATGTATGGGGCTCTGTTACTTTACCATCTGAGAGTGGYTACAAGTATTTYATTACCCTCATTGATGATTATTCTAGATATACTTGGGTATATCCTATGCGAACTAGGGAGGAAGTACCAAAAATTATCCAAGATTTTCAGCGGATGGTCTTCACTCAATTTCAAACTGAAATCCAAATTTTCCAGTCAGACAATGCGAAAGAGTTTTTTCATAGTGATCTCACAGAGTTTTTGCTTCACGTGGTTCACTTCACCGTAGCTCTTGTGCCCGAACACCACAACAAAATGGTGTGGCTGAATAGAAGAACCGACATCTCTTTGAAGTAGCTCGGGGTTTACTACTCCATATGAATGTCCCCAAACGTTTTTGGCTTGAGGCTATTCTTTGTTCTACCTACTTCATTAACTGTATGACCTCTCGTTTGTTAGAGTACAAGGCCCCACATCAGCTTTTCTTTCCTAAGGCCCCCCTTCTTCCCATTCCTCCTCGTGTATTTGGTTGTTGGTGCTTTGTCCAAAATCTGTCTCCCACTCGTGGGAAATTGGATTCTTGTGCTATTTCTTGCATATTCCTTGGGTATTCCTTCACTCAAAAGGGATACCGTTGTTTTGATCATGTTTCTCGGAAATTCTATGTCTCCATGGATGTTTCTTTCTTTGAGGATGAGCCTTTCTTTCCTGTTTCTCTTAAGGGGGAGTGTAGGCATGAGGAGAAACTGGTTCAGCTCCCTCATCTTTCTGATCCTCTGCCCTTTCGTGTTTTCTTCCGTCGTCGCAAAGGCCAACCAAATTCAAGAGCTGTGGAGAATCTAGAAGCTGTACCTCCAGTGCCATCAAACTCCTCGGGGGAGGATCATATCCACTTAGGTAACTTGGCTCCCAATGATGTTTATGATTCTATTGAAATTGATACCTCTGCTGCTAATGACCTTGACCTCCCTATTGCTCACAGGAAAGGTGTTAGATTGTGCACCACTAAACACTCCATTTCCAACTTTGTTTCCTATGAGAACATTTCACCCTCWTTTCGTGCTTTYCTTACCTCTATTGAYAGTGTCCCTATCCCCAAGAATGTGGCAGAAGCTCTTTCAGTACCTGAATGGAAAAATGCCATGAAGGAAGAAATTAATGCCCTTCATAAAAATGGCACATGGGAACTTGTAGATCTTTCTAAGGGAAAGGATCCAGTTGGATGTAAATGGGTGTTCACTGTCAAACATAGGGCTGATGGAACGATGGAGAGGTATAAAGCTCGCTTAGTGGCAAAGGGGTTTACTCAAATGTACGGAGTTGATTATGCAGAAACTTTTGCTCCTGTTGCCAAGATGAACTCTATTAGAGTTCTATTCTCTCGCTGCTAATCTAGATTGGGATCTACATCAGCTTGATATCAAGAATGCATTTTTGAATGGTGATCTTGAAGAGGAAGTTTACATGATACAACCTCCTTGTTTCCAGGCTCAAGGCAATGAACAGAAGGTGTGCAAGTTGAAGAAGTCTTTATATGGGCTGAAACAATCACCAAGAGCTTGGTTCAGCAGATTCCATGTTGCGGTTCAGCAGAAAGGATACCAGCAATGTCAATCAGATCACACACTGTTTGTGAAAAGAGGAGAAGGTAAAATGGCTGYTTTAATAGTATAYWTKGATGAYATAATTGTTACTGGTGACTGGAAGGATGAAATCCAGAGGTTGAAGAGTTTCCTTGTCACTCAGTTTGAAGTGAAGGATCTAGGGCCTCCCAGATACTTCATTGGAATTGAAGTTGCCTGCTCAAAAAGGGGTATCTTCATTTCCCAAAGGAAATGTCCTAGATTTGCTTCAGGACACTGGAAAGATGGGAGTGAAGCCAATTGACTCTCCCATTGATCCCAACCATAAATTAGGTGACAGCCAAGGTGAACCTCTCAAGGATGTAAAACAGTTTCAGAGACTTGTAGGGAGATTGTTATATCTTTCTATGACCCACCCAGACATTGCTTATGTTGTTGGTGTCCTTAGCTAGTTCATGCATGCACCTAGGTCCACTCATCTTGAAGCAGCAGAAAGAATCCTCCGATATCTAAAAAGGTTTCCTGGTGCTGGCTTGTTATTTCAAAGACACGGGCATTTGAAAGTTGAAGTGTATACAGATGCAGATTGTGCTGGATCTCAAAATGACAGAAGGTCTACTAGTGGCTATTGCACCTTTATAGGAGGGAACCTTGTTACCTGGAGAAGTAAAAAGCAAAATGTGGTGGCTAAATCCCGTGCTGAAACTGAATATCGTGCAATGGCTCACGGAGTAGCTGACTCTATTCTGTGATAACAAAGCAGCCATAAACATTGCTGCTAACCCAGTGCTACATGATAGAACAAAACACATCGAAGTTGACAAGCATTTTATCAGAGAGAAAGTCATCACAGGCGAAGTGTGTACTCCCTATGTCAGCTCTGAGAACCAACTTGCA